CTCTGAAGTTGAAGAAAATAGGCAAAATTCCTTCTCTTCAGTCCACCACTTATTCCTTATTAGAACATTTTTTACTTATTTTACAAAAAAGGTCCTTTCAAGTTAAAGGATTAAACTCTGCCCACAGCAGGGGGTTGGAGCTAGATGATATTTAAGGTGTCTTCTAACCTAAGATATTCTATGATTCTATGATTTAGATAGAAGATCTCTAGACAGAGAATATTTAATCTTGTAATTAATGCAAATAAACTCATGGTGATGCTTTGTCTGATGGTAAGTCAAGTAAACTCCTTTGATTCCAGCTTTGTTTGTTATTATTTATGATGTTGTGGCTTTAGCGATCATACCAAAGAGTGACAATTATTCTTAAAATGTTCCCCATACAGTAAAATAACATTTTAAAATGTATCCTGGTATTTCCTTACTTTATAACTGTTTTATATTTTCACACCCAGAGGCTTTGCCTTTATTCTCACAGCATTTGCCAGCCTTTGTTCACAACTGCAAAGCAGCCTGATCCAGTTACAGCTATGACACTGAATCATCATCATGTCATAGCAGATTGCGAAAATGAGCTCATAGTTGTACCATACCAAGCTTTCCATTCCACTACATCAGTGATCTCATTCGAATCACACACAGTTGAGATTTTCTTTACATTGACACTATCTAGAATGCTTCCCCCCAGTTTCGCAGCACAGTATTTCTTTTGGCCATACCCAGCAACCATTCAACACAATACCAAGGTTTCTGCCTCGGACACAAGTGGTGTCTTTATCCCTCTTCTCAAAGAATGAAAGAAAATTCTGTTTATGCAATCTGTCACCACAAGGTGATTGCAACTGACTTACAAGAGATCATGCTGGAAATACAGTATATTACTTTGCTTGAAAAAAGCAAATATCAGATGATCCCCAGGAAATGACTTGCACTGTAACACAAGCATCTTAGAATCCTACATCCACAGCTGGACTACTGACTTGATAAGGGTCTCTTTTTGCTTTTTTTATTCATTTAACAGTATGATGAGAGATGACTCACAAAAATACTTTTGGAAAGTTGGGAGTCTGAATCAAACAGCACTTCCACATGACAAGAGATTAAATGCTACTCTGACCACCTATGTTTTTCTACATTAGTATCACAGTTTTGAAATTTAAATAATAGGAGAGACTCAGCTCCATCAGAGTATGCAAAACAGGGTCATCATGCCACAGTGCCAAGTAGGATAACAGAAAACATTAAAGTTAAACCAACTTGTCTTACACTTCCACTCAAGTTGTGAATTTCCCCTGGGAAGTCTGGATCTGGGAATATAGAACAAGTAATACAACATTTCATCTATGAATAAGCAGCTAAAGAACAGAAAATAAACAAGCTTTAGAAGTTCAGGTGACCAAAGAAAAAACATTAAAAAAAAAACTGACAGCAAGTTACTACCCTCCTATCTTGAGGATCAGTGAGAAAGCAGAATAAGAACTTTATAAAAGCAAAAAAATGGTGATCTTCATTTTTAATCATGAAAAGAAAAAATCATGGCATGTATCCTACTGCTGGAGAAGCCTATTGAGATGGTGATATGATTTAAAAGTACTCAGACCTAGACTTTGAGTCTTACAGAAGAATCAGATTCATTATCAGAGTCCAAATTTTCCAATGCAGGATGCAAGCGTACAAATACAAGGCAAAGAAATATTCTTGATCAAAAGCAAATTAACTATGTGAGTGCTCATAGTTCATACACATGCATTTTTCCCTTTTGGGGTACAGTCTACATAATAACACCCATTAAAGCACAGGTGCATTCTACATATTAGAAAGAATGTATTAACAACTTTCACCTACAAGTCAATTCAACTGCCAGATATAGCAGGACCTTTCTTTTGGTAGAGTTAAGGGCACACCTGGCATAGTTAATCAGCATGCAGCTGTTTACAAGCCTTTCCTTTTACCAAGAGAAGCCTACATAAAAATGAAGACAAACAGCTGCACATCCCAGCTGGCACACAGTTTTAACCAGTAGGTTTTCAGCCTGTTTCTAGATTAAGTGGAGCTTAAAAAAAAAAAAAAAAAAAAGTACTCTTAAAATTCATTAATTCTAAAAGGAACTTGAGTATTGATTCACTGCTACTAACCACTCCGACACCAGCCTGGCCAAACCAAGGTTTAATACTAATTTTCCACTGAAGAGAGAAGTAGGTGACAATAGCACCACAGTAGAGTACTGGAGTACCAAAGGCTTTCACAAGAAGGTCCTTTGAGACTGTAAAACAAAGGTATGTGTACAAGATTCAAGCGAAGTAAAAAAAAATTTCCTCCGCACCACTGTAAGCCAACTGAATCTCCATGTACCTCTTGAAGACTGAACTTGCAATTATCTTTTCTCCTGCTTTGTTAATCTGCATAAATATACTTCATTACTATTTCCTGAATACTACAAGAATTATTTCATTTACATATTGTAGAACTTTTAAAACAGGAGGAACTGTCTTTCCTTTGCACTGAAACTCACAAAATCAGTTTCTGCCTGGGACAGAAAGGTTCAGTGCATTCTTTGAAATGTAAATAAATTAGATGATAATCAAAGCAGCATCACCTTACTAAATATATCATGAGCTACTGTTCAGTGATTTACTGTATCATTCCTCAGTTTACTGTGCATTCTAAAGAACTCACAACTGTTCTTAGATGCAATATGCAGGAATTGCCTCCAAGTATTTTTATGAATTGCAGTTTTAAATTATTTATGCAGATATTAAAATGCAAATATATTATCAAACTAAAATATTGAAAAAGATGATAAAACTGAGAACTAAGAAGCCATTTAAAATATAAGGATTGATCCCTAGTCTACAGATTTTAATGGTGTAACATTTTTTTTTGGTGTTCCTCATGTTAAAAATGTATCTGAGAAAACAGGAATGTGAGGAAATGGATGAAAAAAATATTGCTTGATTAATAAGGCCAGTCAAGGAACTGTATTTGCGATACTAAAAGGAGCAATTGTACTGGAGCATGGAGAAGTACTTCAGAAGATTAAAAGAAAGTTTAGGAAGATACGGAATAACAGCGTTTCTACGTTCTGCATTGCTGACATTACAACAGCTCTGTTGCACTACAGCATACCTTTCACCTAGCATTGTATGCAATATCCCCCACATGCAAGAATCCTAGACTGGAGCACTAACCACTGAACCCCCCCAAGTTCTCAATTTCACCTCTCCGTGCATTCATTTTTACCCCTTTCTAACAAAGGTGTGAACTTCATTTCATAATTATCTAACAATAATCTAAAAGAAGGCCAGAAGTGAAGGCCAGAACTTTAAAATATTGAGCCAACTCAAAGGTATGTTTTTGAAAAGCAAACCTCATATTCTCCTTTAGCTACATCACAGTTGCCTGCATCCTCTCTCTGATATTTCTGTTGTCTTTTTTTTTTTTTAATATTAATCCATACATTGCCAAAGGAATTAAAATATACAACTGCAGCTTCACTGATGTTAGAGTTATAGAAAAATTTTTGTAGCATTACATTTGTGTGATCGCTTCCAAGTCCATTGACCCAGGAATTCTCTGCTCCCATTTTTTCTGCTTATCTACTTTCCAAAGTACAGATTAAGCCAAGCTCTCCATCTTCTGTGACCAAAGTGCAATAAAAAGCAACAACTGAATTTAAAATATTTATTAGCAGTGTAGAGAATGAGAAGAGAAAAGCAACCAAGGGAAAAGCAGCAGCAAAAGAGCATTGGACAAGGTTACTTTAACTGCCAATTAATGTTCAAAAATAACCTCAACAACAAGCACAAACATGACAGTCATGAAAAAGAATAAGGCTGCAGCATTAATAAATACTTGATACAAAGTGCAGCTGCCAGAAAGTAGGTTTTCCCCAGGAATTCCTATATCAAACCATGCACTTCCCTCACTTCTTCTGAACAGACACTAAACATCCCAGGCAAAAGTTTGAAGCTTAAAGGACTGATCAGCTTTGAATTCTCAAGCAGCACAGTCAGAGCACGGCCTGTACCAGGCAGCCTGTCAGCATGCGAGTAAAATAAATGAAGCAGTTATGTATCAGTTGCCAAAATAACTGATGTGAGGATCTACAGTCGGAAGTTTACAACTTCCTTGGCTGCTGTTCTAATCCATTACCTAGCCAGGGCAGCCTTGTGCCCCTTTAACCTCTTGGCCACTTAAATGGGGTACTCTTTGAGCATTTTGTAACTGCAGTAAAAAGTACTTAGCTCAGAAAGGTCTATGGGTCCTAAGGCAGAAAAACCATAAAAACACCACAAACATCAACTCTTCTGTGACACTGTTCTTTACTATTACCATGTTGAAGTATTTTGAAGTATTACTCCTGCATCCAGCATGTGAAAATCACAGATCTGCTCTCAAAAGAGAACATGAACTAGCCAGTTCTGCCACTGCCAAGTTTTTACACATTTCACTTTAAAAATGGACTTCTCCTTTAATTGCCTTTCTTCTTCTACATAACCTAATTACATGCTTCCCCCCTCCCCATCAGCCTCATGTGTTGAATTGTGACTTTATCTAATGAGCCATAAATACTGTCTTTTATAATATATCAACTTCTGCCTTTGGGCTTCTGTTACCTAACACAAACTTGCCTCATTGATATTCCTGCAAAGTCCTTCACAGTTGATACTGTTTTTTCAACATTATTTCAGTAACACCTTCCTATTTTAAATAGCTGACTTTCCTAACAGTCATATTCATAATTAAAATCATATTATAAATAAGAAGTCTCAAATGCTACTGTTGAAATCTTTGTTATTTAAAAAGTGAAAATATTTAAATGGCAAAATGAGCCAATTAGTAGATATCATGCTTCATATCAAAAGAACGAACGTCCAAATATTAGAAAGAAAACAGTATTTCAAAAAAGTACTAAGTGATTTAGGAACTCCATACTAACTTCGAGAAATACATTTGCATTAGTTAATGTTCCCCAAGTAAGTTCTCACAGATATACCCACATTTTCAAACACCTTGTAGACTTCTCTTTCTGAAATTGCTATTGGAAAATTCTTGGCCAAGGGCTCATTCTGGAAATGGGACAGTACTGCAAAGAATAAAGATCATTTATTAGAGAGCTTGAAATTGGATAATGTGTAAAGAGCTGCAATTAAAGACAAGGCTAGTAACATTTTATTTGTTTTTATGAGGTTATTGCTTGGCAAAATATTTCTTGCCTAAGGATCCTACTAATAATACATCTGTAAGCAGATAGAGGAGATGGGAAACAAAGTGTTTAGTTTAAAACAACTTTGGGCATATGAACCTCTCCCCTTACAGAGAAATACATCAAAGAGTCACTTTGACTATACTAGCACTCAGCTTGGGCAGTAGTCCTTACTTCCTCACAAATACAAGACTTTCAAGATGGTTATGCAGAAGAAACAGTGTAGAAAACCTGAGGAACCCAGAAACTGTTCCTCTTTGCATTCCAACCAAATAAGAACATCATTCACATTTTCTGGAAGGAATGGGAATTTCCCATACCTCCATATCCTCAACATAAGGTTTGTGAATTATTATCTTACTGAAATATTCATTATGTAGCAAATATTAAAAGTTAACAGTTAATATTTATTAAGTGTTAAATCCAGGTATTTCAATACAAAAAAACCCTGTATTTATAAAATGCACTGAAAAGCCACAGTACATTAACTAGAAATTATGTTGTGTATAATAATTAGCTTACTATAGAAGTTCCTACTCTATTAACCCTTCCAAAAAGTCACAGCAGCCCTGTCACCTGACATCTTACTCAACAATTCTCTACATAATCAGCATGGCAGAATGAGTACAACACTCAAGTCACTCATGTTACACATCCCTGAATGAGCTTCTAACTAGTTGAGAAAAGTGAACACTCCCTTTGTCTCAGCAGAGCACAAACTTTCCATGAAATACAGTTCTCTTCTTATATGAGGGTAGAAAAGAGATCACTTTTTTGAACAAAATAATTTAGTATTTAACATTTGAGACAAATTAACAAAAATAACAAATGAATCTCACAATAGTCAATAAAGTATATAGCACCTAAAATTATAACACTCATACCTAATTTAACATTTCTTACTAGATTATAAAATGAAATCATACTTAAAATATCAATATTTAAATGAAGTAATAGTTTAGTAGGCTAAAAGATTTTTCATCAGAAACTCAGATACTCAGTTTCACTTTCTGCAAGCACATCCACAAACATTCGTTATTCTTAATATTTTAATTCATGACATTTAAGAATTAGCTGCAAAACTTTTCAGGAAAATGTGAGTGAAAATAAGAGTACAGTAACTGTCCTATAAAGACTGTAATATCCCCTAGCTGAACAGTGCTTCCGTAGCTAGGGTTCTACCCCAAATAGAGAACTACGGCCAAATAAAGAGGAAATACTGACAGAACCATCTCTGTCAAAATGAAATTCCACTGAAGCCAAAGCATTTGTTTCATAGCACATATGGATTGCTGGGCAAAAATGCAAGAAAGACGCTGTACAAGATTAAACGCAGCCTTGACTGGGTGAAAGTGAAGCTCAAGTTGATTATGTAGAATTATATCGATGAAATACTCTGCTGTGTTTCAGTCAGAGTATCCTATTCCAGATCTTTAAAGTCAGGACTGAAATCTGCTCTCACATCTATAGCCATTTGGCGCCCATAGCTTTTTTCAGCCAGCCATGGTTTTAATACCAAAAATGTTCAGAAGCTCCAGTGTGGTTTTGCCAATAGAAACAAAACTGTTAAGCTCCAGAAGATGCAGCACAACAGAATTTCATTTTTTTTAGTATGGTCACATCCTAGCATAACCAGTTAACAACCTAAAAATGAAATAAAGGAGATAAATGGCTTTGGGTGCCATTTACTTAGAGTACAGAGGGTTCACAGAATCACAGAATGGCCAATGTTGAAAAAAAAAGGGACCTCAAGGATCATGAATCTTCAACCCTCTGCCACATGCAGGGCCACCAACCACCCTAATTAATACCAGACCAGTCTGCCCAGGGCCCCATTCAATCTGTCCTTGAACACCTCCAGGGATGGGGCATCCAAAACCTCTCTGGGCAGCTGTTCCAGCACCTCACCACTCTCTCTGTGAAGTATTTCCCCCTCACATCCAACCTCTCTCCTCCCTCAACTTAAAATCATTTACCCTTCTCCTGCAGTTGTCAACCCTTTCAAAGAGTTGATTCCTGTCCTTTTTGTAGGCACCTTTTAGGTACTGAAAGGCTGCAATAAGGTCACCCCACAGCCTTCTTTTCTCCAGGCTGAACAAGCCCAGCTCCCTCAGCCTGTCTTTATAGGGGAGGTGCTCCAGTCCCCTGATTATCTTCGTCCAAGCTAAGCTATGGCCTTTGTTTCATCCACCTACAGCACACAAAAGTTGCAGTGAAAAAAAAATCATAAGGCATGTATTCACAGTTTTAGGTATGTATTCTAGGAAATACAGAGTAATCATTAAAGATAGTCAAGAGCAACGGTCTATATCATTATTTACATCTAATTAAATGGTAGTCCCATATATGGCCTTCAAAGACTCAAGAGAATTTGCCTACTAAAAATACTTAACTGCAGCATTGCTGTGAGTAGAACTAATATATCTGCAGTGTGGGCAGGATAGTGCTGCTCAGTTTTCTACCACTCAGAGACAAAAATGCAGCAAGAGAAGAGATGGTTGCATTGATTTCTCTTCACATGGACTTTTCTGAGCTGTATTAAACTCTTCTTTTTCCAACTCCTCAAGTACTCCATAATCAAAGAGAGCAACCTCTTTCATCTCTAAACACACAGATACAGAAGCCATACTTTTAAATTGTTGTCAAAGTAACTAAAACTCATGCATGAATTCTGCATTCTAGGCCATGTACCTGTTTTGAAAATCTGATAATACCTCAAAAACAAAAGTGTTTTCCTTGAACTGTGGTGTATTTACAAACCATTATACAAGGAAACATACTCAGAACATGCAGTGATTACGCACATTTTTTAAAAAAAAGGCATTGAACTTCACTGACTCAGTATCAGCTGCACACAAATTATCCTTGTGGACTTTGTTTTGCAAAGCATCTCTGCAACTGGTAAGAACACTGCATATTCTACTCACTACCATTAAATGAATGGATGTATTGCATAATGAATGAAAAAATACTGAAAAATTGGCTAAGCTTGAGAGGTGATTCTCAAACAAGACTAGAAAATTGAACAATCTGAACAATAAATCAACAGTTTATTTAAACTGAGTAATATAAAAAGGCATCTGACAAAGATGCACACAATGATAGAAATCCCTTATGCATATAGAAAAAGCAAAACACAAAAGAATGCATTACAGTATATTCACAGCTTATTTACTCTTCAAAATAAAAAGCATACCAAAACTTTAAAATCATCATAAATTCTGCCTGAGGGAAAAAAGAAAAAGGGGGGAAAAAAAAAAATCTAATTTTCAAAGAAAATCCATCCTTACAATCAACAGAGAAAGATTTAGACCTAAAAGCTATTTGTTTGGGAATTTCATTAGAAAAGATCATGTGGGAGATTAAATTTGCTTCATGTGTATTCATGAAAAGGCTTTGGGAATGAAAAGTATATCATCTTTCCACTTGCACATCTTTTTAAAAGCACATTGACAGCTAATACTGGATCACACATGAATTTCAGGAACTGAAATTTCACCAGTAATATACTTATTTGTTCCAGAGCATAACTGTAAGATTTGAAATACACCCAACTGTCTTGTAAAGATGTTTAACAGAAGCTCACCTGGAGAGTTGAAGTGGGATATACAGCAGGATGCTTATAATACATGCATGTAAACCTCTAAAAGAGTTTATCATTCATTTGGTTAAAGAGTTGTGCGTTAGAGCAGAATGGATTATGATCAGATCCCAGTGCTGGAATAAAAGGGGAAAAAAGAAATGGTAAGAAAAAACATTTGGATAAATTAGATGCATCCAAGTTGACAGGACCCAATTCAATTCACCCCAGGGTACTAAGTACATTCTAGCCAATTAAATCTGTGAATCAGTAATGACTACCCTTTCGAGCCTAACTTGTAAAGAGAAGTTCTAAAGGTCTGGTGAAAGGCAGACTTTATGAAAATCACCAAAATGAGGAAAAGGTCCTGGAAAGTTACAGATCAGCCAGTCTACCTTCAGTGTTCAAAAAGATACTGGAACAAATCACTTAAGAGTCAATTTAAAAGTACCTACAGGATAATAAAGGTGATAAAAAGCAGCCAACATGGATCTGTCAAGAACAAATCACATCAAAATGATCCAATTGCCTTCCGTGACAGGATAATAGGCCTAGCAGATAAGGAGGAGGCATTAGAGACAATCTGTCTTAACTGCAGTAATGCACTTGGTGCTGTCCCTCAGGATACTCATGAGTAAACTAGGAAAGTTGGTTTCAGTGAAGACAACAGAAGATGGGGCACAAAACTTTATAAGTACAGTAACCAACAGTTTGCTGCCAACTGAAAACAAACTTTGAATTCTAGAGAAATCTATTCTGAATCCAGTTCTACACACACATTCAGTAATCAGAATGACACAGTAGAGAACACAGTTAAAATGTTAACATACAAAGACTACAATTTACTGAGTCCAAATGGACTAAAGAGGTGTTAGGAACTTCAGAAGGCAATATAGTTAGGAAGATGTTGAAACATGCTGCAGCAAAACAGCAGTGTAGAGTAATTGCTAATAGTTGAATTTACTTTATGCCCTCAAGCAAAATCTCAGTAAAACTTTTGCTTTTCCTTACTTAGTTACATGATATCATCCTTTCTCATTTAATGTTTATCAAGTGCTCCTACAATCCTGAAGTAGCAGTCACAGAAAATGAACTCAGAAGAAGCTAGTATTATTTTAGAACCCATCACATACACCCTTCCTTCCACTTTGAGATATCTTCCAACATCCTAGATTGAAATATTTTTTCTAAAGGATAATTCACTATTTGATTTTATTTTAAATTTTGCAGTAGTGGCTGTGAAAACTTTTCCATATAAAAATGTCAGAAAATTGAATTAAATGATAATATATGCAAATTACTAATGTTACAATTAGTGTTAAAACAATTTGACTTTCCCTTCACATTTCTGGTTTGTAAGGTATTTTTTGAAGCACTGAGTACTGACAGATTTTACTAGAAGAGACTTTTGATTTTTACTGATGGTAAAGTGACACTGTTGCTTTAAGGACAAATACATTTACTGAAATCTACCTTTATATATTTGTTTGAATATATTTAGTCTTCCAAGACATAAGCACATTTCTCAGAAAAAAAATAAAAGTAGGTTGAAGACCTGCATATTATACCAACACGCTATAGAGCTTGAGTGAGTTGCTCCCTCCATTTGCCTCCCTGTGCAATCATTTCAAGCTGTACAGAAGTGCTAAATGTTATTATTAGCATAACCCAACTGAATAAGATAAAGAAAAAAATTCTATTGCATGTATCCTATAATATTGATTTGTTACGCCTTGCAGTAAAAGAAACACATTGGCTAGTTTAAAGTGAGATAAAACAGTGAGCAGGAAAAACTGACCATATTCTGGGGGAAAAAAATAAAAAAAATAAAAAAAAAATCAAAAAGAGAACACATATCAACACAAAACTGACAGCTTGTCAGGACAGAGGAAAAATACACATGACCCAGTCAGCAAGACAACCAGACCTCCAAGCCAAAGACAGCTCAGCTAGAAACAGATCAAAATCTTTAACAAATGTTCAGCGCAATCCTTGTCATTCAAAATCCACAAGTTCCCAATCTTAACAGGTTGTAGCAAGTGAGAATTTTATTAAAAGTTTGGAATTTGCAGAATTGCAGAGATTCCTCTGAAACTGCAGTAGGGTCAGACAATGGGTCTACAGAGACCTAAGCAAAAACCCATATTCCACAGCTTAAGGTTAAAAAAAAAAACAAAACATTTCTGTAGGCTGATATTATTCTTTGTAACACCCATAATGTTTCAGTATTGTCTAACATTCTTTCCTCTTCCTTCACAATCAGTAAAATTCTAGTTCTTGTTATCTTTTTCTCCACTCTAGTTAAGCTAAATTTAAGGTATTTGATAATAATGCACATTCAAAATTTCTATAGAGACTTCGTAGATTTTTTACTGTCTGAATTGTCAATTTGACAACTTGCACAGGAAAAAAAAAATCAGTAAGGTTAAAAAAAAAATCCTTCTCCAAGGACAAATGTAGGTGACAGCAGAGAAGATATTAAAAAACAAAACCAAACCAAAAATACAGCTGAAAAAGGGCCTGTGGGTAACCCAAGAATGGATCAAACACCAGAGAGTTTATTTAGATTTAGGTTCACTCCAAGCTAGGGCTCCAATGGGGAGCAAGCAAAGATGAAGAACATTTAAACATAGATTTGGGTTTTGAACATCTGCAGAAAGGAGTTTCGCACTGCTGCTTTTTGTTTGATAAGAAACTTCGTCCTTTTCACCCATTCATTGCATTAAGAGGTACTGAGAAGTGCAATAACTGGAGCAATCTTTAGCAGTTCCAGCATGAGAAGAAACAGCTTTATCCTTTGTACTCAAATAGAAGATCACCTTCCCAGATAAGAAAATCTGTGTAAGAAATTGAAGTTAGTACAGACCACAGGTATAAATTACTACCCTTCTGTACCCATAGCATAAGCTAAACATTCAAATCCCAATACATTCTATCTGTAGCATCCCCCACATTGAACAAAAGCTCAGCATTCTTCTTGCTACCTGACTGCTCCCTGCAAGAATGTTCATTATCACTTCTGTTAACCTGTCCTGTTTTATTTAGCACACAGTTGCCATGGTTTTAACTCTTCAGATCACACCATTTCTAACTAGTTTCTGGGCTAAATAACAAAACAGATTTCGGAAAGCAAAGTCTCCATTGACCAAAATCACGATGCTTTCTTTCACCAAAAAAAAAAAAAGACGTGGTCTCTTTTTTTCTCAGGTCTGACTGAAAGCATTCCTGTATGCTGTCACTGGGTAAGTCACTGCAGCAAGGATAGAATGCTGATTCATGCTAGTTGCTCTTCAGGAGTCAGGAGAAAACAAAACGGGGCAAAACTTTTTCTCCCCTCTTCAGCTGCAACATATAAATATGCTAAATTCTACGCAGTTCCACAAGGCTGTTCTTGCTATCTGTTACAAATTCACTTCAGAAAAAGAAGAGCCTAATTGGAATTAATTCCCACCCAAATTAGGAAAAGAAAGTAACTGATTTCTGTGCCTTTAACAGGAATTAATAGTTAATTAGTACTGAGGAGCACTCAGGATGAACAAAGCAATATCTGTTGACAACAAAAGCAATATTTCTGCTCTCAGTAAAATAAAAGGCAGAGTATATAGCTTAATTGGTGCAAGAAGTTTCATTAATTGACCATATTTACAACCACAGAAACTGAACTCCTTGCCTTCAAAAATCTTGACAAACACTGCTAATCTCCACAACTACAGATAAAAATTAGAGAACCACTGTACAAAAGGTACACTGAAGGCAGCAGTAGTTTTGAAAAGAGAAAGACAAATCTTTCTCTCATTCTCTTAAGAGATTCAATTTGAAGGCATTTTCAAGCAGTATCATAAATATGCCTTGAAAGAAAAGAAATGGAGTTTGGACTACATCTCTTTACAGAAACTATCAATTTAAGTGCATTCATATGTCAGAAAAGCATCTGTACCATCACTTGTGCAAAACTGACATATGCAGAATTTAGGATTTAATTTTCCATTCCTGCAAACTTAACTGAAATCTGTATTACCCTCCTCATAAGGATATTTAATTCTCCTGAGTGGAAAAAAAAAAACAACAACCAAACACCCATGTAGAAAAGACCTATGTTGAGGAAAAACTCTTCTTTCAACCTCTTTGGCTTCACCAGGTTTATGCAGCACACTGCTTCGTGCTGTTCAGCTCCTCAGACCTGCTCTCTACTTCTCAGGACTGGAGTACCAGCAGACAACTGCAGAATTCAAGCTGCAGTCAAGAAAACACTGAAAGCCTGTGTTTGACTGCCTTTGTTCTGCTCTCCTTCTGATATGCAGGGCCTTCCCCCTCTCTCTACCTTTTCAAACATCACCTTCTGAACAAGTATTTCTTCACCCCAGGGATATAAGGTTAAGTCCTGCTTTTGTGCAACAGGCAATTCACTTTCCACCTCTTCCTTACATGAAGAGGGGGGAGAAGGAACAGCTAACAACAGTGGAGAAATGGAGAGGGATTTTTAAATACTTTTTAAACAGAACATAATTGTCTCATTCTCTGATCCACAGAAAACATGTGTCCTCACCTGGAGCATTTCCCATTACATAGTACAACACTCAAATCCCTGTATAACTGAAACTGTGAGGAAAAAAAAAAAAAACAAGTCCTGATTGAACATTTACGGGGGCTAAGGACATTGGAAATCAGGGTAAGGTCAACCACATATTTCAAGAGTCTCTTAAAGCAAGAGATTTCTGTAACATAAATGGGAGGGGAAACAAAGCTCTTTACTGTCACTACTCTTTAATCTTAATTATTTAAATTAATATTTTTTGGGTTGCAAATGCAGGGGGTTATACGCTTAGCAAGTTCGGTGTAATCAAGTTTCCTTCAATATTAGCTGATTAATCTCTCCTTTCTCTTTTCAATGATTTCATTTGTTCCAAGTTGGAGTTCAGCTCAAAACAAGACACTGAGAATAACCTACTGAAAAAGCTAATCCTTGTGGGTCATTCGCTTATAATGACTCGTAAAGTGAAAAAAGCAGCAGCAAGAGAAAAACAAGTATGATTTTTCTCCACAATATTGTCTTTAAGAAATACTGCAGTAATGCCAGAAGTCATCAGCTCATTTATTAAATTGCAAGTGCTGTCTTGTTAATTAGCAAGCCATAATGTGGCTACATTTAAATTTTTGAAGTTTACTCATTGTTCTGCCCACTATATTTATTCTCCATATCTTTCCGAAACAAACACAAACACATACAAGTGTATGAATCTGCATGTCTTTTACTCAATCCCAAAGGAACTATAGAGTAACAGAGGAAAAAGCACAGGAAATAGGTAACATGATATTTTCCCACTGCTATCATCTCATCTCTATTAATTTTCCACGTACTGCACAAACCTGTCTGCCTTAGTTAGCGAGGTTCCCTGTGGAAGGGACAAAAATTGTTTCAGAAACAGTAGTTTCAAGCACATCATCAGGATAGAGGAAAGAATAACTCAGATTTCACACTAAGAAAGGCACACAGATGATTATTTTTCCTTCCTTCAGTCCTCTGGGACACTTTGTGTAACTCAGGGTAAATGGTTGCCATACCCAAAGTACTTACAAAGGTATTGGACTGTTTAGCATGAAGATGCTCCTCAAAAGCAGAAACGAAGAACTTCCATGAAGATGGAGTAATGGCAAATAAGGAATAAAGCAGATTCTTCATCCATTTGATAGATGTGCACAATGGGGAAAAAAAAGAGGGATAGAGCTTAGTGTGATCAGAACTGCAGAACTAACTATGGAGAATGGTAAAATAGGCTTGTTTGAAAGAAAATCTCTCCTCATTCTCCTTCCTCCTTTCTAGTTCACAATGAAGGTCCTTTGAGCAAGAAGTGAAATAGAATCCAAAGACATCAACATAAAAAACTGATAGAAAGGCCAGGACCAGAATGACAGCTTGAAAAGGATCAGAGGATAAAGGAAAAGTAATGGCAAGGTATCAGTGGAACAGCAAAAATAAAGGAAGATCAAATAGGATGTGTATGGTTTGTAATTAGAACGGGATATTTCCTGGAAGTGTTGGTGCTAAAAGCAAGGAAAATATTTAGTACTGCTTTTAGCATCATTAATATCCTCTGAAATAGCATGTAATTTATCAAAGCAGAATGTTTAAATACAGATGTAAATCATCATTACTAATTTTTCAGATTATTTTCTTTTTAAACAGTTCCAGAGATTTATGTTTCCATAGTATTTCACTATAGAAAATGCTTACAACCAATCAAAATAAAAAATGAGAAAAAAGTGTACTTGTGTACTTCTCCCCCCAATACAGAATAATATTTATAGAAGGAGTAATGGCTAACAAAAAAGTATAAAAAAGTCAGCAAGAATCTTAAGAAAAATATCAGTAATCCATATGATGAAGGTCAGAATGTAAAATCAGCTTTGATGTTCAGATCTCACCTCTGTCAGTTATAGAGGGGGCGTGGGCAAATATCTATATGATAAACAATACTGATTTAATTTCAGTACACAGCATCAATCAGAAAAAAGAAATGCGCTGAACCTCTACCAGCTATTTCAAAGCAGTTTCAGAGCTGATTAGATATTCCTTTTGTGTTCGCATTGACAGGAAGATGTAAAAGCTACTTGCTGGCACTGAAGTCACACCATACTCAGATCTCTCATGAATATTTCGTAATAATCTTAGTTACTCTGCGCTTTAGAACAAATCACTTTCGTGCAATTTTTTTGTTTATTTCCTAAGTGGACAATAAAACTCAAAATACTGAATTGTTACAATCATAGGAAAAAGCCAACTACTGACATAATATACACAAGTTGTATTAGCTGTTTTCTTGAGTATATAGATTCTTACTCTAGAGTTCTAAATGGTCAGCAAGTACTCATTTCTTCATCATCTCAACTGAAATAGAACTTGAAAACTTTGCTACAAATGAAACTGTAAATGAAGACAAGTTTTAAACCAGTTCTATACAGCAGAACAATTAAAACATACAGAGAATGTTAAAATATCAAAGGAATAAAACAAACCATAATTCCTCACAACAGTACTGCATTCATTTCTCACAGAGACTACCTAAGTCTTAATTCCTCTTACTTATCCTTCTATGGTGGCTATCAATGGGGAATGCATTAAGAATCTGAGGTTCCTCTGAGGTTCACAGGCTGGAGGGAGAAATTTTTCATCCCCCTCAACAGGGAGTCTTGTACCCTCAATCACAGTGTAGCCCAGAGCACCTATCATCAGAAAGTCAAGTTATTGGATCAAAAGAAAATAACCAATTAGACTCCATAGATAATGAGCAAGCTAAACAGTATTTAGCTGTCCACAAGACAGATAAATTTTAAGACCTATTCTCTCAGATCAATATAAGATGTCAGAGGTCTCAGCCCTTTTGCACATAGTTCGTGCACAACAATCTGGAAATGCCATATTCCTTCATGGCACTGCTAATGTATCCCTTTCCTCTCTCAAATATCACAGTGAGGGCAGAGAAGTCCAGCCTGTATTGTTAACTTCTGTTCTTGCAGATCTCTACAAAAGATTCCTTTTGTGATTGTCACCTTTCACATCAAAAGCTTATTTCTTCATAAAATGATAAGTTATATTCATGGTACCTTTGAGAATAGAAAGGAAAACACCTTTGAAAAAGCACAAGAGACTGGCCTAACTTCTATTAGTTCACCAAGACAAACTTACTGTCATTAGACAAGTTACATTTCAGACCTTGGGTCAAGAAAATGAGCTGATTTTTTAAATGTATATTGCCTGTTCCCGCATTCAAAGAACATCTAAATATGTAACAAAACATTTAGGAAAAAAAACTTCATCATACAGAGCATTAGTTTCATGTCTTCTATGAAAATAGCCTTTCTGGACGGTTTTCCTAATGAAGATTCAACTTGTACTTGAGACTCTGGGTCACACAGCAACAAAACAATGGAATATTGATAGGAAGGTTCAACACCTACCCCAACATCACAGACCAACATAATAAAACAGGAGACATTACTTTCAGGATACTCTTGCTAACTATATTTCAGTTACAGTAAGCATGCTCCTGAGTCACAATTAACTGATAAGGTCATTTCAAAGTGTTTGTAAAACAGCTATCATACAGACATTTAGAGACTTAGATTTAATATTTCCCTTTTTCCTATCCTGAGAAATGAAGCACCTTCAAAAAAATATTTAAAGACAATACCAAATACGAAATTTGGTCTTTTGTTTGTTTTTTAAACTATGATCAAAAAGGAAGCACTAAGACAAGAGTTATTTTTTCCTAAGGAATTTTTATTTGAAGTTACTTGAAGACTACCTGCAATGTTAAGAATGAAGACTGAACGGCTACTGTTACACCAAATAACTCAAGGGAATGCACACAGGATAGCCAAAGCAAAAATATATGGGCAGTAATTAGAGAAGGAAACAAGAGATACAATAAACATGACTGTACGCACATCTGTTCCAGCAGGAATAACAACACTTTCTCAGTGCCTTACACAGCAGATGGTGTGGGACTGCAAGGATTCCCTCAAATATTCAAGTTCTAGCCAGCTCTGTTTAGAGTCCAAAAAGCTTTTACCTAATTTGCCTTTCAGCTTCTTGAAAGCAACAGGCAGCAAAAAAGTCCCTCAAACAAAATACTCAGGTTTCCATCTCGATCCCAGTTCTTCAACCATTTAGACTTCTGGCAGAGTATATAGCACGTTGTATACTGACATCTGGAAAACATAATTGGGACTTCTTTTTTCATATGTTATCATAGTCTTTGTTGGCTTCCACTTACACTTGGTACAAAATTCATTAATAAATGATACTGTACTAAAGTTTGGTGATGAATCATCAAAATAATGGCCATACTACTTCCCATTATTTTCACCACAGACTTTTGTTTCTCATATTTTGTTTGTTCTTCACTTCAGAATTTTCTTCTTTTCAGTTATTCTGACTCAGTCACCCCATGAATTACCAAGTTTCTCATTTACTGAGCAACATCTATCATCTTTTACAGCCAGAATTCCCATTGTTCACAATGCAGACATGCTGTTACTTGAGTTGCTATGCCCCGATTCCCGTGGATCACAGTGAAAGTACAGAAGCGAAGCAGTAATGATATGAAGAATTTGCGTAATCACATTATTACAGCAATATTATCTATATCTCCTAAGCTGTGCTGCAAACTTTTGTCTCAGTATCACTTTTTATGCCTTCCTGTTTTCACATAAAATTGGTTCATGTTATTCAAAACCTCCTGTTTCAAAGCAGAAATCAGCCTAAAACAGTAACATGCTGGGGGCAATCTGTCAGACTACTTCTGCTCATCTTTAATAGATTTGGTTCTGGACATTGCTTGAAAAAGAACACTACAGTGCATAAAGCATTACATTTGACCAAGCAGACATTCTTGTATCTGTAGTAAAAACACAGATTACAGCATATTAACAGGCTTGTAAGACAGAAGGAAGATTTAGAACCCCATCAAGTCTCATGAGAACAAGAATTCCTCCTCCTCAGGTTTCGTTGCAAAAATAGAAGAGTTTGCAGCAAGTCCTCATTATCTTCTATTTATCCCTTATGACATTGAAGTCTGTTTTTTGTGCTCTGAGTTCTCACTTCCTACTACACAGATTTTAACTCATAGAAATACAGAAGCCTAGGAAAGCACTTGAAAGAACAGTATCCAGGCAGTGACAGATCAACAATGCACTTTTAATAATGGCAGAGAACCTGTCTTACAAAGACAAATTTCTAGAAGTATGAACAATTTTAGGAACAGCAGCAACAAAAGACAAAGATCCATGACCCTGTATCTTGTCAAGACTGTACAATAGGACTGAGGGGCAAAACAAAGCTATGCAATTGTTTATTCTCCTGCAAAATTGTTTGTCTTGTACAATAGACAGAACTTTAATATAAGTAGATGTATTGTCCCATACATTAACATATTAGACAGAATAGAGATCCTTAGAAAATACCTCAGTAGAACTTCAAAATCCATGAATGACCACACCTACAGGATACAGATGACAACACTGCAATGAAAATGAACAGAACAACGTGGACAGGATAAAAAAAATATTTTTTGTGGGAATTGCTTAATGATAACTTGACCATTTACAGATCTAGCAACAGAAAGGAAATTCCTTCCAGAACAATAGCTGGTCAAAACGTCAATGTTTACTGGAATTTCTCTATACTGAAAGACTAACAAGAAATATCTACACGTCCATAATGGCATTCTTGCCTTTCAGGCTTATCCTGCAGCTTATGTCATGTCATAGCTATTTCTCAAAGGTTCATAGCATATTATGAATAAAGAAAATTGTACGTGACAAGTCCCTTTAGAGTACTTAGTAAGTCTATTTTCTTTTTTTCCTAAAACATTTAGTGATATGTAGAGGGTCTTTCACTTCTTACTTGAGAAGAAAAAGATCCTACCTCTCCTTAATGGTCTTGCATCCCTGAAATCACAGCAGTTTCCCATGAAAATTATTATACAAATCCAATAGCCTAAGAGATACATAACTCCTAACCACCACACATCCACTTGTGAAGCTATCCTGCTGAGAAATGCATGGTCCCTATTAATTTTTTACATCCACACATCATAGTCTAATCTTTGGAAGGTTTTCTTGCATAAATTTAATGTATATTAGGCAGATATTTCAATAAACAGGTGAGGAAAACTGGATGACAGCAAAAGTTTCTTGCCCAAACAATATTATTGTAGCATTTCAGTGAAACTTACAAACAAGCTAATTAAACAGGTTGGTCTAACTTCTAAATATATGTGCTAATTTTTGAAATAAAAGATTCCCTCTCTATTAAAGCACTAAAAACAACATCCATAAGGAATCTAAAGCATGCTGCAGAGCCAGTAATATAGAACCCGTGCATCAATCAACAACTGGGGATACTGTATTATTGAAAGAATAGCTTACATAACTTAAAAAAGTAATCCCACATGTAAAAAGATTTCATTCCCCATCACTTCGAAAGTTAATAGTATCTCTGTTCTTGTCCCTCTCCAATACAGAGAAAATGAACACAATGCCAGACTACCACAAACAGGTATTTTCAAGTTTGCATAGTTCTTCTTTCAAAACCAATTGCTTCAAACAAGGCAGAGTGCAGATTACTCATGCCTCCTACTGAGCCTAATGTTTTAAAAGAGAGGCTTTTAGACTTATGTAATACACACACCCAACATTTTCTGAATAGCAGAAAATGCTCACATTCTTATGCTGTAAGTCGTGGATCTAGCTGGGTGTTTGTGATGGAACTTTCCCAAACAAATTTGAGTTCAGAGGTAGCACATGAAAACTCCAGAAAAATCAATATTCTGTAAAAATAGAGGGTTTAGAAATAAACATCTTAGAAACTGAGCATTTACATTACTAATCAGGCACTTTTGAGTATCTTGATACTGCACTAAATAACCAGCCTGAACGCTTAAAGCTTTACATGGCACACAGAGCAGAATGTTGTTTTCCTACCAGTACCACAGTCTACGAGAAAGGAGTTCAGTGGCATCAAAAAGGACCACCCAAATTAACACATGCACAGACAGCCTTCAGAGTAAGATTGGATGTTTTACGGATGTTCCATATCCATAAAATACAGGCCAAAAATGGAAAGACCAAATGAGCCCCAAATTCACAACAATTTTCTTAAATTAGACGCCAGAAATTATGTTAAAAGTTGGAGATCACACATACTTCTTAAAATTAAGTAACAGTGAGTGTGTCCAGTTAAAGGTGTTTTTTTTTTTTTTTATCTCACTGTCATAACACTATTCAGATACTTAAAGCAGCAATCACACACTGAGCATTCTGCATTCCATTTAGCTTCAATAGTTGATCAAGTTGTTCTCAGACTTTGGCTTTAGAGCATCTACTTCAGTTTCTAATAGCCCATTTTGTGCAACCAATGGCTTTAGGTGAAGTCATTAAGCATGCCATTTAAATGATTAATGAATATATTGCTGCTATACTGGAGTAGTTAAAAAGCATTTTTTTAAACAGACGTTCCAAATTACAACAGTTGCACAAAAATCTCCATCTGCTGGCCTTCTTCAGTTACTTGACCAGAAATAACAACGAATCATTCTACTTCTTACTTCAGTTACACAGTTCTGGTCTTTGTTCATTTTATCAGCTGGGTGTGCTATCTAGAAAAGCAAGAAACCTAAGTCTGAAACTACTTTGTTGGAATCTAAATAGCCATCCTTTCACAGTTCAGTCATACAAAATGCAATCCGGACTGTATGAATTATTAACTAGTGTACCTGTATTCAGCAGTTAATGTTAAAATTGCTATTTTCATGCAATGAAGTCAGCACGATTGGAAGTACGCAGTTGTGCTGCACATTATGAACACAAAGCCACTAAAATAAACATACAGTGAAATTATGCTTAATTGCTAACTTTGAATTATGCCCACAACTCCATCAGCAAGGCAAAAACAAAGAGGAATGAAGGATGATTTGACATCACTACCAACACAGCTGTAGTGAGACAGAACATCGGATTTGCAGGTTCCCCTAAGTAATTAACACATTCAGCTACTTCGTAAAGGCAGGGTATAGTAATTTGCAATAAAAACCTCAAGTATTATGCAAACAAGATTATTCAGTTTTGTAAGAGCAATGTACATACCTCTCTCATGAACATTTCCAACTTCTTTAGTTATGCTTATGTTTTCTCCACCAATTGGCTATAAAACCAAAGTGACCATAGGTCAGCGTAGTCTCACCTTAGGGGAACTAGTTTCAGATAAAGAGTAGTGCACTTGCTCTGTAATTACCGTATCACAAAAACATAAGGGAAAAAAATGAAGTCTCCAAGCAGAATCTAAGCAAAGCACTGATGGGGCAGCTATGCAAAAATCCTTTCTTAGACTGGATTAACTCTGCAGAAATTGTACCCTGGACATGGAAAATCCACATCTGCACCCATACCTTAGATTAGCAATATTTCCCATACAACCTTGTCTTAAACCCCATGCTTGGGGGATTTCAGTTACATTTATACTATATACAGCCATGCACAGACTTTATATAAATATATTTACCTCTTCTTTAGACAACTTCAAAAAACCCCCAAAATATCCACATCTTTTCAAACTCCTGGGAAAACAAATCTCAAAAACAAAAAAACACAACAGCAGAACACGAAACCTGCATCAACATGTCAGGTTTAGGAAGATAATCATTTATGTGTTTCCTTCACAGAGCCTGGTAGATGAAGCTCATTATTTCTCTTTCAGCATCTGGGATAAATAAGGATTAGTAGGAGCTAAAATCATCCAAAAATATGTCCAATGACTGCCCAGAAAGCATAGACACTTTCTAGACAATAAGATGGTTTATTCAGGAAAAGATTTATGAATCAATGTCAAGAAATAACAAAATAATGTTATCCTACTAAAATAAACAGAAGTTGCACCTTAAGGATTCTCATGAATTGGACAAGACTAACATCAGTGTCCTTTCACTGATTTACAAGGTTTCAGGTAAAAAAAAAAAAAAGCAATACTTGTACCAAAATACTATGGTGTATGACATAGTTAAGAGATTTTGATGCTGAATCTTCAGTTGCATAAGCCAGAACTGCCTATATGGCAACTGTCCAAACAGAGGTATTTCTCTGTGATCTGGAAGAACTAGACATGCTTCTAGCTTAGCTCCCAGCCCCTTCTGCCCTCAAAGCAAAATCCAAGCACAAACACCATAATCTTTCCTCTTTCCTATCCGTAGTCATTCCTTTACTTGGCTGACAGATTATAGCCTGGCATGATGGAAGAGCTGTATCTTCTTAATTGACTTGGCAATACAGAAGTACAGAAGCTGGGACTGCTTTGTCATCTAAATCATGCTGTTTAGGCAGAACCTCAATTGCTACTTTGAAACATCTGGCCCTATTAAAGCAGGACAGTGTCCTAACTCATCTGAATGGCAGAGAAAGGTTAATGTCACATGCCTCAAAGGCAAAAATCTGTTACATGCAGTACCCAGACTTTTCTTACCTATTACAGAAATTTTGACAGTTTGAAGGAAGTTTGTCAAGCAAGGCAAGAAATCAAGAAAGAACGGGGATGGAGGGAGGGAAAAGGGGTGCCAGGTCAGCACAAATATATGCACACATCATCCTCTACCAGACTGGCAGCACAGGCACAACATCTTGGGACTCAGGATTGAGTCCCATTTTCTTGGTTATTTCTAAGCTGCACATAAATGTGTTTTCTGCACATGAAAAATGGATGTCAGATTAAAACCACTGAAAATATCCAAGAAGAGGTGGAGCTTCCTGCGCTCATCCTGAAAACTATTCATGCCTATAATGGCCAATATGAATCTTCAGCTATGGGTCCAGTATAGTCTTCAGGAGGAGATCATTAAGCTTGCTTTATGCGTTTCAAACAACAGTATTTCAATTATTCACATCTTATTCACAATAGTAACAATGTGATCTGTTTAAGAAATAGAAATTAAAACAATTTATTGTATTAGTTAGCATCTTCCCTTTCTCTCTGTGATACTCATTCCAAGTAATCTGACAATTTAATTGAGCAGATCATTGATTTAATTACTTTCTTTTCATATGAGAACAGCTAGTGCTATTGGATGAAGCTCGAAATTAAGAGTAGGAAAAAACACAGATAAACCCCAGGAAAAAATAGCAGCAAAAAATATTTTATTTCCTCACACAGTTGTGATTTGCTACCTTTTCCCTGGTTAGCCTGTATGACACTGATACATCAACAGTACAGGTGGAGCAGCACTAAGAAATTCTAACATTGCAGAATATCCCATTAATTAATCTGTGTTCCGACTCAGATAAACTGTTATTTCCTTTCAATGATCACCAAATTACTTTTCTTCCAATGATTAATTTTCAATAGATTTTGAAAATCTGATATGAGCTTAACTATTACATGGAAATGATTTCTTACTCCAAACCATCTGCTTAATGTAATAAAAAGATTAGTGCCTTAACAAGATTATTTAAAATAATAGGATATGGATTGTTACATTTTTTCCCCCAATTTAAAAGAGCATTCAACAATTTTTTTTTTTAGTAAAAGTCTTTAGCTCTGAAAGCAGAGATATACTTATAGATGTAAACATTTGTAATTGAAGGGGCAGGAAGCCACTTTCTGGTCTCGTAACAAAACAATACAGTCACCAAATCCAAGATAACAAGAACAGGCCCCTCAACAAATTCTCTTTCATTCTTTGACACAGGCCTCCAATTTTTCTAAGGTTGAAAAATAATGCCAATGCATCCCTGTGCAGATACAACATTCTGGAAAGGCAAAACAACATTTTTAAAGGCACTAAAATGTTTTAAAAGCAGAGCAGAATAACTCAATTGCTGTTTGTCAAGCTCAAAGAGCAATAGCACTTCAAAGGAGAGGGAAAAACATGACTAGATGAATAAGAACCATCTCACTGAACACTTCATAGGAAAGCATCAGGGTTGTTTTTTTGTGTGTATTTTATTTTTTTTAAACTATTCATTACAAACTAGAGAGATGACAGACACTCAAAAGATACAATCTTCACATGTCATATTTCTGTGGCTTTTGCACAGAGGCATCTAAAGTATTCAGGAAGGACAATTAGAAAGATCTAAATTGCTTTAATTCAATGTAAGCATGTACTTCAGTTATCTGTTCATCTGCATTATTCACATACAGTCATAGTTATGTATCATTTTACATACAACAAATAAATTACTTATAACTAATTTGTTCCAAGCAGATTTTGTCCCTGCTTACAGGGGGAGAAACACAGCTCCAATTAGTTATAAATATTCAGTACTTATTCCTGTCCAAAAATAACCAACTCTTTTTTGGTTTGTTATTTGCAGGAATGATTATTAATGTAATTAGCAAGCTCCCATGTATGTCACCCAAAGCAGGCTTACTGCCCTCTGGCTATTTTTATCTGTCTTTGCGAATGAAAGATATCAAGTTGAAGATTTGTTTTTCCTGAGAAGGGTGAGGAAATAAAAGGCCATGTTAGCATTTGGGATTTCAGGTGGCATGCATCCTCATTCCAGTGACTGTGCAGAGAAAGATGGACTAAAGCTGGATGCATCCAAAACAATACTCTCACCACTATCTCCCACTTTCTCCTTCAACCAAACTGAAGAAGTCTGAAAGATTTTCTTTCACTTTCATCATACTCTCAAGTGAGAGATCTTTACTATCCTTGCCTTTAAGATATCAGATGCAAGACATAGCACTCACTGTTCCAACCTTACTGTTATTTTGCTAAAGCTAAAGCTCAGACAGGTTATGCCTCCCATTAAACAACACTTTTAAGAAATCCAACTTTGGGCCATTCCATCTTAAACACGCACAAATGTAAGAGCACAGGAAGCCTCAGACTGTTTAGACACTGGAAGATATAAAACATTAAGCACTTTTCTCAACTCCTTTTACAACACTGTGAAAAGTTATTCAAGTATTAAGAAGCTAATAAGATTTTAAAACTTTTGCAAAGAGTCTGGATGCAGCATGGTGGTTCTGAAACACAAGTACTTCATGGTCCAAAACATAAGATTTCATTAACCACAAGGTGACATTGTACTGACTATAATTGCTTTATCTGAACAGAGTGCTCAGTGATCAGAACACTAGCAATCTCTCATAACTCGTCAGCAAGTTTAGGATGCTACACATGAGTGCATGTACATAACAGAAACCTTCCTGAAGAACTTAGAACAGTGTTCTTCTTTAAACAAACATGCTTGATCACAATGATTCCAATGAAGACACTGGAAGAGAACACAGGCAGTAAAACACTTCTCACCTCTACTCCCTACAGCTGTGAAAATAACTCTTGCTCAGTTGCTTTTAATTTTAGTTCACATATTGCCACTTCAAACAAAGCAACATACGGTAACAAGCTGCAGAAGGAGCAGATCCAGAATTCCACATTCCCTTTGCTGGAATACAAAGCAGAGAACATGACACAGCAAAATTTTCCACTGGTTGTTAACATATACAAAAGTCTTTACTCAGCCTGAAATGAAAAATACACATAAGATCCAAGTTTGGCCTGATAGATGTGGTCTTGGATAAATCAATTCAAGCATTTAAACTCAAGAGGCAGTGACCCTTTCAGATCACAGAAGGGTAAGTAAAAATTCACTAGTAGGTGAATTTTCTCACTTGCACTAATTAAATTGGTTGTCTTCATTAATAGAGAAAACACCTGTACTTAATGCACAGTGCAAGTATGCAAATAGGCACTCCTCTCATAACTGATGGCTGTACAGCTGTGTTGCCATAGTACAGTTCCTTCCACAACACCTCCATTCAAAGAGGTGCTATCCAGATAATTTATCAGTTGTTTGTCTTCCAGGCTGTTTGTCTTGGCATATGTTACTATGCCCTTAGCTCCTTAAGACTGTTTCCATATGAGCCTGTTAATTATTCCAATTCCAGACTGCACAGAATCACTTTGTAGAGGGATTGATGAAGTAGAAGCAACTATTTTACTAACAGTAATTGAGAGATTATGGGACAAAAAAGGATCTCAAACCAAGTTTACCCTTTAGTGAACTCGGACACTGAATTGCTGAATTGCAGCCAAGTATGCTGTGATACTGTGAAAATCTAATTTCTATTTCAAAAGAATAGTTTAAAGTTTTTTTTAAAAAGTCTTTGTGAACATTTAACTAATTGCAACTCTATCCTGAGGT